TAGGAGTCTCAGGCTAGAAGCAGTGCAACAGGCTTTTAACTTGCGCACATTCATAACCCAAGCAAAACCTCTGATGCACATATTTGAAAAATGTGTGATGCTGAGCCCTGCGACATTGAATCTGCGAAATGAAACCTGAAAGCTCTTTTTCTTCAGCATACGAAAGGGTCTGCAATGGTCGCAGCCTCAAACGCATTTCAACAGGGCAAGGTGTCTCATGCACCCCCTACTTGGCACGTAGGTGCCAAAACTCCCTGAACCAGCCTGCGGCTCTGTCTCGCCATTAGCTAGTCACAGCTCAGAACCTCTTCTCGCGCTGCTTTTGGTGGCTCTCTCAGCTTCTTGTCCCTCAAGCGCGTCCTCGTGCTCACCTCGAAGTTTCCCCGCCAGGGACGAAGATCAGGCAAGTCTACGGCTCTGCCACCTAAAGTTTCGATGCCTGGCTTACCAAGCTTCGAAATGCCATTCAACACAGAATGAGATTTCCATGACTAGAATTGCTCCAACCTGTCATTGATTCACATTTGTCACAGTCTGAAACTTGTGTCCCTCGGAAGCAGACCAAATGCAGTTCGTGACAACCAATCACGGTTGTTTTTGGAGATCTTTCCTTGCATGTCATCCATGAAGGCAGCCCCACTTGCATTGTTCCACAACGACCTTACGATGCAAACAAAATACGGGTATTATACCACCTCCTTTGTTGCAGTGTCTGCGGTGTTCTAAAGACATTTTATCTTAGTTCACAAGTTTATGCACTTTTTAACCTGTCCACCATTTGAAATCGTGCATAAGTAGCACACACACCCACACATACACGTATACAGTAAAACTCAGCAGCCATACTGGAAGCCTCTAGTTATGAAACTTTGGGCCACTAACCTCCACAAGGTCCGCACTCATCTCACAGGGCCGTCCGTTCGGATGGCTCCTTTGTTGGCATTTTGGAGAGAGAATTCCAACTTCTTGGAATGAATTTGAACTTACCAACATCTGTTTGGATGTCAACTGTTTCTGTGATTGAACCTTGGCAATATTGGGTGAACCATTTGAGAGTGTTTGCACGCCTCTGAATTCAGAACCTATTCCATATTTTGTTGCGAATCTTCAAGGTCACTTGTCCACTGAACTGTCCAACAAAAAAATAATCAAACTTTAAAACCACTTTTTCTTCCTCACATAATGTATGTTACAGATCTTGATGTTTTGATGCATGTGGGGCAGAAGCTTCACGAGCTCGTTGTTTCTCAGGACAATCAACGTATCGCCCAGTGCGCTCTCAAATCACACAAACCTTGCTGCACTACAGGGCGCACACCTTTTGTACATGCCCGTGGGGCACGTAAAGGCGATCTGGCAGGAATTGTGCCGTCGGCCTTAAACAAAGTGAAGAGCTGCGTGTTCGACTCTAAGTTTGAGACCACGTGAATGCTCAAGACTCGGTGTCAAGGCTGCTTGCAATTTTTAGAGCTCAGGTAGGCTGAGGAAACATACAAGGCGTTTCAGCATTAGTCCACGGAGTCACGGTTTTTCAAACTTGGGAGAACTGTGACTGTGACAAACCCAAGGTTCGAGTTCTTCAAAGACACAATGGCGCCGCGAATGGCCGCATAGCCCAAGCCACGGAGCCGTGACCAACCGCCAGCAGCAACCTGCCAAACCAAAAGCACAAGGCGGGCTGGAACTGCAGGGCCCGAAAAGCAAAAACAAACGTCAGGCGACCCGACCCGGCAAAAAGCCAGCACTCTAAGGGGGGCAACATTGGAGAAACCGCACTTCGGAGGAGCAAAAAGCACATTAATTTAATCGCCTTTTCGGCTTTGTTAGTGAGAAAGCTAGGAGCAGTGCAGGCCTTTAACGGTTTAACGAACAAGTGGCAATGACCGTAGCACTTCAAGGAAGGCATCCTGAATTGATCCAGGTCTGCTTATCAGAGCAAAACCATAAAGGGTGTCACCGGCCACCTTCCCAAAATGAACTCATGCTACCTCGACAACGCGCAAAGTTCAAAAGTCTGAGTTTTGATAGAAAGCGAAGAAGCCAAAAGAGAAAACCACGCAAACATAAGTTGCCAACAGACGAAGAAACCCTTGTAGACAGAGAAAAACTGCACGAAATCGAGCAGAGCCAAAGCGGAAAAGCAGATGCTGAACGAAAAGCTGCGCAAGCGCAACGGGGCCAAGCAACTTAGCGCTCAACCAAAGGAGCACAAAGCCAAAAAGAGTTAGCATCCGCGTATTCACAAAAGTGGCTTAGCAGCATTGCCTTTTTTAATCCGGGGCCATTTGCGAGCACGCAAGTCGCGCAGTAAAACAGAAAAACGAGAAAACAAAAATCCAGAAACAAAACCACGGAACCAGAAAGTGTCTTAGCACCTCCAAAAAACTCGAAGTTTAGTTGGAAGACGGAAGCTCAACCAGGCAAGCAATTAAACAAAGCTTAGGAAGAGCAAAGAGTGTGAGCTGAACAGAGGCGGGAGTTAACGCTCGAAAGTCTTGGCTAGTAGAGCGGAAGGACCCTGTACAAGTCGCAAATCATCTTGTGAGTGAGCTTGGCAGCCCCGCGGTTTGTCTACAAAGTAGGTGGACTTCGTGACTAAGAACATTGTTCTCCTCTCCTTGTTTCCCTTTTGCCATGATTTGTTTCAATTCATTTTCGGATTTAGTGAGAATGTCGTTTACTTGTTCTTGTCAAACATCTGCTACCAGATGTGTCTTGGATCTTCCGAAAGTGCTGGCTGGTGCATATCACCTTGCCAATCATGGCAAATATGCGGAAATCGAGACATCATTCTCTAGGACAGACTTTCACAGCTAGACGAATATCGTACAGTTTCACATTCGTTCGGGTCGAGTGTCGACTTCGTGATGCCGTTTTGCACAGATAGTTTATGTGCGCACCCAACATGTCCCATGCTTCTGGCCGCTAGTGCGGTGGTTCAAGTCCCTGTGGATTTTTGATGCCGCATTGGTGTGGCACGGCCTTTGTCCCGGGGCTGATGAAGAAAACAAAAACAGAGCAGAGGTCATTGCGGGAATGGTGCCTGTGCATTTTGCAAGCGCTGAAGAGTGTTCTTTGCCGCAGCCGGCTTTTGGGTTTGTCTCAAAAGAAAGAAGTCGCCGCAAAAGGGTGATTTCCCCTTTGTCTTCAAAACAATCCTAAAGACCAACAGTCCTGACTGCTGACATTTTCATGCATTGTTGGTTATTCTTTGAGCCATTGCCTCAAGATGGTGGGTTGAAGGGAAGCGACAGAGCATGTTGAGAACTTCTTCGACGGTACCAACATGAGGTGTGCCAACATTTTGGAATACTATTTGCATGTTTCAAGGGAAACTCAAGGACACGCGCGACACATTGCGGAACCCAACTTTTCCGACACATTTTTTGTAAGCCCCAAGTGAGCCCACCTTTTCGGGTACTTCCTTTGTTACGTCATCCAAGAAGAAATCGACACTTCGAGCTCCGCAATGGAGCTCGCCAAGCTGATCGCCCCAGATGGACCTTGGGGCAAGGCGGGGACCAGATCCTTCGGGCCTTCGGGCCTTCGGGTGGCGCTCGGCGGAAGCCTTGTAAGAGCAATGGCTTCTGGGCCGAAAGAACGATAGCTTTGTGTTTCCGCGTCTCCCGGTAACAAACCCCGAACTGAATTCGGGACCCTGTTTGCACAGCCATTTTCAAGGTAAAAACGATGGCAAATTCCATACGTATGGGTTGGGCCTCGGAGTGGCTGGAGTTGAAGGTGGGGAAATCCATTTGGAGTTGGTACCCTTTCTGAGGCTTGCCTTTGTTTGGGGAAACCAAGCGACAACCAAAGGCATTCTTTTTAAGATGAAGCTGTTGCACATTTCCATGTGGGAGTTTCTCAACATGGTGGATCCCCCCTTTTGGCAGGTTGGTATGTAAAAGGAAAAGGATACCAAATTCCTCCCCGCCCCTCAAGACCCCATTCCTGCTCCAGTTCTAACTGTGCCAGCCAGCCAAGAATTTGAGGGGATCCCTGTTTGGAGAACCCCCTCCCCAGATGGGAGCAAAACTCGGGGTTTTTAAAACTGGTCGAGCTTTTTGTGGCCTTCTTTTTTTTTTTTTTCTCACCCAAATGGCCCATGGCCAAAAGGGGTGGTTTCCCATTTGGAACCAGGCGTGGCTGGCAGCACACTGGGAGAGGAAGCTGAAGAAGCAGGACGAAACGAATCCGAAATCCGAAGGGCGTGTCGGGTTAAGAGCCCAAGTTCACCGTTTTCTGGCTCTTTAAATGAAAGCTTCGTATCGAGAGACACTGAGCTTGTTTCTTTTTGAGCCACACCCACCTTTCGGCTTACCGGCAAAAACCAGTCTCGTCCTTTGCAGACCTCGAGGAAATGATTGGAGGTCTCTCGAAGTGCTGATGGATCCAACTTTTTTCCTGGTGTGCATTCTGTTTGAGTTGGGAACCCAAACCCCAAACCCAACACCGAGCCACCCACGATTTGTTGGTTCCCGAATCCGCCCCGTAGGAGGTTCTTTAGAACAGCTACGTATGCGTTATCATCAACTCATATTTGCTTACTGATCTTTTTTGGTTTGCCTTTGGCTTCCGGACATCCCCCAGCCAGGCATAGGAGCGGCCGGGGTTTGGCGCCCCATTGCGTGCCATGGCAGTGTCTATAGCAGGATCCTGCCCTTGCTTCGGTTTGGTTGTATGCCTTGGTGATGTTGGGGATATGTTTTGTTTGGTTTTCCACTGGTTTCGTGTCCTTGATCCGTGGCTCAGCTTTCCTCAGGTGCAACCCACGTGTTTGTCAGGGTGCCGGTCAAAATCGATGATAGGCCGCGCGAGCATTCTCGATAGGCTTGGGCTTGTCTGAAAATAGCGCTTCCCTTTGAACAACTCCCTGAGATTACCCTCAGAACAGCAAATACAGGCCACTTCCCGCTTTTTGAGTTTCCCCTTGCATAGGATGATTTGCGGGGTCATCCAGTATCAGGCTTTCTATTCTTTCTCTCTGACTTCCGCTGGCATTTGGCTCATAGGGTTAGAGGCAACTTAGCACCAGCAGCACAGATCCTTTCATCATGGGCGAGTTCACGATCCGCACTCGGAAGCCGGAGCCTCAACATTTTTCTTTTGTTTGTAAGCAACCCCGCCGAAAAGGCGGAGAGCTTCGTGGTGCCGAAAAATTTGACCTACCCTCACACAGCTTTGTGTGGTTTTGGGAAGTCTGGCACTTCAAACGAGTAAGGCACCCTGGGCACATTCATGGATTCCATAGAAGCACCTAAATTGTCGCGCAAAGCAATCATAGCTGGTTGCCAAATCTTTCAAGCTTGATTTGTCGTCACTTTGTGACGTTCCGAACCTGGAGGTTTTGACATGAATCCCCAAAGGTTGTTTGTCAGCCTTTGGGAAAGCCTGTTGAAGGGTGACTTTCGCGATTTGGTAGGAATCTTACCATGTTTTTGGAAATTGACCGGGGCTGGCGTAACATTTCCCGCTTTGGCCACCTGCGCAAAAAGAGCGATGCTGCAGCGAAAGAGAATCTAGCTTCGAGGTTCCTGAGAAGGAAGCTGTTTAAACCATAGCGGCTGGGTGAGGCCCGCCCTGTGGGGAATGGCACTTTTTAGAGGGTACCTCGGTTTTACGGAACACGCAATGCGTTTGGTCCCATTTTGAAAATGTGCAACTGCTTGACACATCCCAAGGGGCCGGCGTTGAGGTTCCAGAGCAACCCTTTGCTGGGCCGCAAGCAGTTCGTGCTGGACATCATCCATCCCGGCATGGCCAACGCAGGGCACCAAGGGCGCTAGACGCCAGACGCAACCGGTGGCGCTCCACGGTTCTGGCACACTTTAAGTCAACCCTTGATTTGTGGTTTGGGAGTTGTCGGTTTGGGGGTAGGTTGAGGGCCAGAATCAGTTGTGTTTTGAGGGGACACCGAGCTGGGTGACGGGTATTGAGAATGCGTCTCTGTTTTTCCTCCTTCTTCTTCTGGATGGGGAAAGGGATTCTTGAATCTGCCTACAAACACCGGGGGACTCTCTAATTCCACATGTCCACTGGGGTGCTAGAATATTTTTGACCGAAACGCATAAATGTGTTCCTGTATTCATATATATATATATATATGTATACGTATATGAATTTATATAAACGTGCATTATGCGTAAAACAATGCCAAGGGACATTTTCCACACAAAAGCCACCGTCAGATGGATCATTTTTTTCCTTTGGAGACATCCAGTGACCATTCTTGCAAACGTTCACATCAACTTTAGAAGCCCTTTGAATGGATGGATCCACTGCTCAATCTGGGTACTGCTGCTTAGGAAGCCTTTTGACTGTTTTGTTTTTCCGTTCACTCCTGAGACATGGAACCCCAGAACACCATCACTCGCAATTCCATATTTTTTTTTGTTTTTCGGAGGAAACTGAGGAAACTTCCGTGATCGGACCCCTCAGCCCTTGGGTTAGCCAAAATCTCCGAGGTGTCCAAGAAGGATCTGGCGGACAAGCTCAAGAGCATGTGCCTCTGGCGTTTTTCTTTTCAGAGATGGCGAATAGGCTGGGAGAAGTGGACTGAGGTAACTGGAAGAGTGATGGAAACGAGAAGTGTATGGTTTGTTTTAGTGTTTGGACGGCTGTTCCCAAACGGGGGGGGGGGGGTGGTTGGGGGGTTTGGGGTTGGAGTTGGGACGAAGGGCGGGAAGTATGGAGTTTGGCTACATTCCATTTTCGAGTGTTGACTGAGAGCGAATTGAACAACATAATACACATATATGTATATATATATATATATAATATGTATGTGTATGTGTATGTGTATGTGTCTGTGTATGTGTATATGTGCATGTGCATGTGTATGTGCATGTGTATGTGTATGTGTATGTGTATGTGTATGCAGTGCAATGCAATGTATTGCAAAACAAAGCAAAGCAAAGCATTTAATGACTTAATTAATTAATCATACTATAAGTTAATTCATTAATTGACTAATTAATGGAATGGAATGGAATTGTGAATGGAATGGAGAATGGAATGGAGAACAGAATGGAGAGGAATGGAGAATGCCATGGAGAATGGAATGGCATGGAATGGACTAGAATAGAATAGAATAGAATAGAATAGGAAGGAAGGAAGGAAGGAAGGAAGGAATAAATGAATGATTGCATGCATGCATGCATGAATGGGTGAATGCATGGATGAATGAAGAACTGATTCTGACTGACTGACTGACTGACTGACTGACTGACTGACTGACTGACTGACTGACTGACTGACTGACTGACTGACTGACTGACTGACTGACTGACTGAGTGACTGAGTGAGTGAGTGAGTGAGTGAGTGGGTGGGTGGGTGAGTGGGTGAGTGTGTGCGTGAGTGAGCGAGCGAGCGAGTGAGTGAGTGAGTGAGTCAATGAGTAGATTTAGGAGTAACTAGATGAGCAGATAAGCAAGTGACTGAATAAATGAATAGATTGATACATGCAACATACATGGAATGTTTTGTTTTCTGGCTTTATACGTATGTATGTATACACATATATATATATATATATATATATATATATGCATACATACATTACATTCCATTGCATTGCATTGCTATACATTTCATCACATTACATCACATTACACTACATTACATTACATTACATACACATTCGTACAGCTGCGGGGCCCAACGCGCTCCCAATTTGGAGCGTGAAGGTACAAGGTCCACGACGCGCAGTGCATTCAGCTCTTCGGCTTCAAGACCGCCTTCGGCGGCGGCCGCAGCTCCGGCTTCGGTCGGGGCCCTGTGGAGACACGAGATTTGCCCGACGTGATCCATGTGGGGCGTCAAGCGCACACGAGGCATTTTTTTATCTGGAATGCAGTGGGGCTCTCCTGTTCTTATCCATTGCAGCAATCACACATGGCTGATGTCTCAGATCGGTGGACCCGCTTTGGGTTTAAAGCACCAAAAGCAAGCTTGTCATTTCAGTTGCCCTTAGCTCCTTTTGCAATTTGAGAGCCTAATCGCCACCGGGGGGGGGGAGGCTGGTACCTGCATTCCATTTTTGCTTAGAAGGTTTGCAAAAACTGCCGGATCCTTTGTAGGGAGCCAAACAATTTTCCAGGAGTTGTGCGTGCATGGGCACGTTCAGCCTGGCAGAAAACGAAATCGGGTATGGGGTTGAGCCGGCGCTTTTTGTTTGTCAGATTCGCCGTGTATTTTGTATTTCCTCATTTGGACTCGCGACCAATGAGGTGAGTGAGCAACCCAAAGAAACACCCCGGTTTTATCCGGCTCCTTTTACTTGGACCTCATACCTTTTGAAATCACATTCACGGCCCTAGTTTGTTTTGTCAAATCTCGACTGGGGGCTTCCGCGAGGGCCTGGTGATTTGATTTGTGTCTGTTTCCGGCCGGCCCTGGGTGAGAATCCACAAAAACACACCAGGACGCCGAATGTAAAAGCAACAACAGATCTGGATTTTCAACAAAGAAACAGCACGGGAATTCAAAACAACAGGCAAGGGCTTCTGGTGAAGGGATGTTCGACTCATCTCTCGCGTCACTTATAAAGGGCTGCGCATTGGATCGGATTTGGTGGCACCGTCAATTGAGAGCTGCTCGGGCTGGTTAAGGCCAGAGATGGAAACCCACACCCTAGTTGATTGCTGCGAGGTGTTCCAATGTAGAACGGATGCTTCCCATGTGGGAATGCTTCTTTCATTCCACGTTGCTGAATCCGGGCTATATGTGTCTAGATGAAGCGAGTTCTCCAAAGGGTCGGCTTCATGTTCAAAAACTGGGCCCAAGATTTCAAGGCATATAATTTTTTTGAGACGAGCTCAGCCATGAGGCCTCATCTACGAGAACCTCGAGAAGCTCAAGAAGTTCGAGCCGAAGTACCGGCTGAAGCGTGCCAGGAGCCCCAGACTTGGGGTAGGTGGGTCGGGGAGAGGTGGGAGGGGCGGCGGGGTGGGAGGGGTGGGAGGGGTGGGACGGGTGGGCCGATGGCTCCTCGGGGCCGCAAGCGATATCAAGGGACGGATAGCCCTGGTGACAGGCTCTGGTCCTCCTTTCCTCTGGTCCTTTTGGTCAGCAATGGGTTTTGTTTTTTGAGGGTTATAGTTTAACGGAAGCAAAGGAACAACCACCTATATTGGGGTGCCCCGATTTCGAGACACACACCCACATGGGTCCTTTCCGGACGGCTTAGACAGGACCTGGCATGGCATGTCCCATGATCAAAAGACCTTGCTGGGACTCCGACTCCTGAAGTGGAATGAGAAAAGGTCGCATGGCGATCCACATCAGTTTCTTGGTACTTCTCGATTTGAGATGGAGAAGGACCTGGCCACTCAGTGTGAGAAGTAGGTACTTCTGGGCCACCTTGTTGACTATGGGGCGGCAAATACATATATTTCCAGGGGCGAAGGAGTGAGGTTCCCCCGAAGTGAAGAAATGAGAAGCGGGGTGATTTGGGTGGGTTCGCTCTTTGGCTCCTTTCGACCCCAATCCTTTCACTCGGCTGAGACCGGCATCGCCGGTGAGAAGACCGGGCCAGGCGCGGCTTGCGATCTGAGATCAATCGGAACCCAGTCAAGTGACAGGGGCGACAAAGAGGGAAAGGAGACGGGGGGCAGAAACAACCCCCCCGTGACTCCAGCGTTTTTTTTTTTTTGTTTTTTTTTTTTTTTCTCGGGGTCAAACAAATGCCTTCTGAATGGTCAGACATGCATTCCCTTGATGTCCACCAAACGAACCCCCTTTCAACTTTGGAAGGGGGAGAGGCATCTTGACAGGTTCCCGTATGGCATGACCTTGGAGATCCCTTCTCTGTTCAGAAACCGGAACGGAAGTGGACAAAGGCATGGGGTCGCGTCCCTGGTTTCTCCATGTTTGGTTTCCCAGAGGTTTCACATCCTGCAAGGGCATAGACGTGGGACACTGTCCAGGGACGCTTGTGCGTACCCCCTCGGCACGTGACCCCAAAAGATTTGATGTTCATACCGAGTCGTTTTGCGAAAGGGGGCGTGTCTTTTTTGAGGCTAGCCTTCTTCACATCCCTGGGTGATGTCATGGCAAGCAGAAGGGACATGGATGAAGAGGCGGTTCGATCCAGGACGCCGAGCCAAGAAGGACAACAAGAACAGGGCGAAGAAGGCCGCGGTTCGTTCCGTTCCGATGGAACTGAGAGCATGGGACCAACAAATCCTTCACGGGCTTGCGGGGGGGAACGCGTTCGGGAAACCCGCGGGGTGCTGAAGGAAAGAAAACTCTATTGGATCCTCTAGTTGCAAAACCCTTTGAGGACTGGCTGAAAGTTTGGACCCGCTGGTCAAAGCTTTGCGGTTTGCGGAACCCACCAAAAAAACAAAAGGGAGTCCCAACGTTGCCATGTCGCACGTGAGGTCGGTTTCTTCTCGCGTAGGTGCGGGGCAAGGACAAGGCCAAGGCGACCAAGAAGTGAGTCGTTTCCGAGAAGTGGACGGGTGTGCGTTGCCGAACGGAGAAACACGTCTCGAGCGGATGCGCGGATTCGCGGATTCGCTTCGTTCTGGGGAATTTCGTTCGGGATTCGTAGTCTTTTTTTCGTTTTTTTTTTGTTTTGCGAAGATATTTGACGCTTAAGGGAATTTAGGATTCGTTCAGATGGGTTGGCTAAGATTTGATCTGACCAGGTGAGGATAAGCTTTTTGCTTCATGCCAGGAAAATAATCAGCGCAGAGAGGGGTTCTGCGTCCTTGGAAGGCTTTTTCTCCGCTTTTCTGGTATGTTCCGATTGGCCCCCTGAAAGCTTGCACTTTGACGTGGACAAGTGAACAGCAAACAACAAACCCATAAGAGTCTGTTTTTACTGTTGTACAGAAGGGTAGGTCTTCTTTGTATTTGCTAATTGGACCCATCAACGAGTGACCCGACATATCAATCTATGGGAAATGCAAAGGCTTCACCATGAAGCAAGTGGGCCAGGCCAAGCCCAAAAGGGCATCGCACCCTCTGCGCTGGTCTGCGGTTGCAGGTTGGAAGTTCTTTTGGTAGTTCTTAGATTTGGCTCGGGGAGGTGGTCTGCAAGGGCAATCCCTCAACTCTAGAAAGGGGTCTCAAAGAAAAGTCGCACCCAGAAGAGCTTCGGTCAAAACCGCAACGGACATTGCCATCGGGGGTTGCAGACCTTTTTTCCTGGGGAATTCAGGGAGCCCCGAGGGGAATGTGTTTTTCTGGTCGCCGAAGGACTACTTGGAAGTCGACCTTCGGTCTCTGCTGGCGAGGACCGGACCCCACAAGAAAGGCGGCCCCTGGTTCTTTCAGGTATCTTCCATGGATTTCGGGCGTCCGAGTTTGGGCGACTTGATATCCCAAAATTCCCCGAATCCACCCCCCCCCTCTGCTGCTCTCTTCATGCCCTCACTAGCCAGTGTTTTCACCAAAGACCGTTATGAGGTCTTGCTCTGGGCTCCGGGATCGGCTCCCATGAAACAAAGTGGCCGGGCAACTGCTGTTTGTCCGACGGGCGCTGACCCCTTTACCCGTCGGGACCCCAAAAAGGTTCCCAAAGCGTTCGCTGCTTGCCGAAACCGATCGTCTCCTTGCTGTGCTTATTCTCAAGATGGTGCAAACAGCGCGAGTCCGACGACCGTACTATGTGGCCCACGTATTGTAGAGACGTAAAACGTGCCTCGCGTTCCGGAAGTCTGGAATTTGAGTTTGACTTCAGAACCCTCATCCTTTTGTGATGGAAAGGTGTCATGGACCACCCGTCATTTGAAGAAGAACCATTTCTTGGGGGTTTTCGAGCCCTTGCCTGCGCGGAGTTTGGGCGTCTGTATTTTGCTCTGTGGTGATTTTCAAAGCTTTTCGGAAGGGCTACGTTTATAGGAATACTTGGATGTTCGAACTGCTTGAGTAGGCTGCAAGCAAGGCCCACTTGTGCGCAGTGGCTATGACCTGCCATGTACTTTGAAGATCCAAGTCCTTGTTGAGGGTAAATGGAAAGTCACAATGGGTTGAGGGTAAATGTGAAGCCACCCCGTAACCCCTAGACTCATCAAACACGTGGAGTATTGGCCCAAGCGGGAACGGAGTATTGGCACATCGGGGACCCTTTGGGGAGCTTTTCCACCAGTCCCGCCCCGTCCGCAGTATCTCCAAGCGCCGGTCCCTGGTGTCGCTCCGCGCCACTGGGCACTTGCTGGCGCGATCTCCTGGATGGGGGTTGGCCGAGGGTTTGGTTTTTCAGCTACCCATCGCGGTTTGGTCCCCTCCCGAGAGAAAGGCCAAAAGGAGCACTGGGCCCGAGCGGGCCCGCGAAGGCCAGGTGCAACCATCGGATCACGAGGGAAAGGCACGGAACTTGAGAGTGGCCGGTGTGCTCCTAGTTCAAAGCTTTGGACTCACGCACGGTGTCTTGGGCCAGCTGAACTCCCCAGAAATCATGGGTGATTGACCAAGAAACCGGGACTTGAAACATTTTCTGGGGTAGCAACGGGCAACATTGCTTCTCCCCAAGAATGACAGGGGGCAGTTGGGTAGTGAACATTCCCCTGGCACATGGCATCCCTTCTAAACGGTCCGTGTTTCACCTCCAAAGGGACTGCTTACCGGTCGACCTTTGGCTCGTAGGGTCCAACCACCATTTTGGACTCATGAAGCTTAGTGGAGGGACCCCCGAACCTCACAGCTCCCAGCGAGGTGGGCGCCTGCAAGATCTACACCAAGAAGTGCAGCTTCTTCGAGGAGTCGGGGAACCGCTGGGAATGGGCGTTGGTATCCAACGGATGGTGGGGATGAATTGCCGTGTTCCCTCCCCCTCGCCCCCCTTTCCTGAGAACCACCAAACTGGAAAAGGAAGAAGTTGGGCCTCCAAGACGGGGCTGGCCAGGGCGCCTAGAATCTGGACACCTGGAAAGCATGTTTGAAATCCTTTGTGGGTGGTCAACACAATGCCCCGACCGCTGACAATGTAAGCGAGCTTCCTTGAAAGTTTTGTCGGCCGAAGCAGGGCCGGCTTTCCCCGTGCTCTTTGATTTTTGCAGTTCCTTCCGTGTTTTCGTTTTCTAGCAGATCTCACAAGGGGTCCGGTTTGCACACACCACTCAAAAATGGCAGAGCTTGCTTTGGTGTCCGATGAAACGCGCCATCCGAATCCATGCCTTGCAACTGTTATTGATTCTTTCCGGATTCCAGGGAGGATTGTATGTTCATGCCAAAGAAGTACCAAAGCGGAGGAATCTGGAGCACCTTTGTTGCGCTTTGCCCATTCATGGGACTTTGCATACATAGCCCAGCGAGGAGGATTCATACAGGACCAGTTCTGGAAGAAGTCATATGGTGTGCCCTGGTCAGAGGACCTTCCATGAACTGGCATCATCATGTCCATTTACATTGGTCACATGATGGCCATGGGTCATAACCTATGGCTCCATTTGGGGCGGATGTTCACCCATGTACCACTTACTTTGATGTTCACCAGTACAGGGCTTTGACCCACCGCCATGATCACAAGGCACATGGCTTGGTGGTTCCCAGCCATCCCCTTAGCTTTTTACCCTTGTAGTTTTTGGTGGGGATTTCCACTTAACCCACTAAAAGTTAAACTTTTAGCGAGGGATCTGAGCACAGCCCAGATTGGTCACATGATCAGAAGACAAGTGAAGCGACTCCGTGCCACTCCCCCCACCCACCCCTCCCGGCCTCCCCCGTCCCGGAAACCCGTCTCAGCGCCAGGAGGAGGCCGACGAGGTGCGACAGGCGCTGATGATGGCGCCGGGGGCCCCATGTGCGTCGCGAGCGGAGCCACGTTCAGTTGGGCCTTTTTGTTGAACTTGTGGTTTCTATTCAATCCAACATGAAGAAGGAAATATGGAGCCCTTTGAAACCAAGGGGAAACAGGGTACATGCCAGGAAGATCAGATTCGGGGGGTTCAAACATCCTTTTGGTTGCCCTTTCAAGGACGAAAAGCAGCGGCTGGTGGCAGAAACAAAGCTTGCCCGACCCTGATGTGGGCAAACTCTGGACAGATCAGAACGATCTCACCGATTGTGAGCAAAATCAGCAATTTTCGCCATGATGATGGTCGGTTACTTGGGGATTCTTGATCTCCAAATATGAATCATAAAAAATATGTCCGAACAAATAGAGAGAGAGAGAGAGAGAGAGAGAGCTAGAGAGAGAGAGAGAGAGAGAGATTTCCGCGCTTTTATTGGAAGTTCCGAATCTGTTTCCAAGATCAGTGGCGCCACAAATCTTTTTCTCCAGGTTTTCGCCCGTATCTCTCCTTCAATCATGAACCCCCTGCGAACGCATGCGCAGGTTCAGCCGGCCAGAGCAGGGCAAGGAATTGGCGCCTCAGATCCGGGAGGCCGGTGGCAGTGGAAGCGAGGCGTCAAACAACAGAGCTTCACATATGGCAATGACTCAAAAACATATACCAACATGGCACCCTGGCAAATGGAACCAGAGACTAACACCTCCGTAACCCTGGTTAATGCCAAAGCCGCACCGGTTTGTATGTTTTTTTGGAAAAAGTGATTTCAACCCTGGGGAGGCCGTACGCTTCATAGCCGTGGGATCTACTCGAATGGAATTTATCTTGTGTCTGGAAAGCAAAGCCAAGCATGGGTGTACCAAGACGCGCAAATGGATGAGGTTTGGGTTGGGACAACTTGTGCTGGTCGGGGTGCTGGCAGACTTTCACCTGAATCTTGAATCGTTCACCTCAGGGAGATAAGAAACAAAAGCGGTTTGTTCGCGTGATAATGTCTGCATTAATTGCAAAAGAGCTCAGTGGAAAGCCTGACAAGCATCCACAAATTGCCCAATGGAGAAGCGATTGGTTGCATGCTGGGGAAGCATGTCAGGCAAACAAGGCAAACCGCTGTGGGGGACTTATTGTGTTGAACAACACATATGCCCCAATGGGTGTGTGTGGCGTTCATTCTTGGATGACCACTGCGCATCAGAAGTGGGTTTACTAATATCTCCAGCTAATAAGTCCTCTAGGCACGCCCACATCAACCGCTTTTTGAGTGGGGTGGCCAACCCGCCCGGGCCAATCTCTGGCGAGGTAAAGGCGCCTGTGCTCATAGCTGGGGACCAGGCGAGAGACAAGAAAATGGGCGGTTGGTTTGGCGCCATGGACCTGCAAGTGAGTCAGAATCGGATCCCAATCCCAGCCATGCGGATATCCGTGGTAATTCCTGGGGGTTGTTGGTGGTTTTGATCAAGAAGATGGCCCCGGAGGCAACCGCGATGGGTTGAGGTATCGGTTTGACGCCTTTTGGTACCCCTGAGGATTTTCGTGGAACTTGGATGCCTTGTGCATCCTATTCCCCGGATTCCCCCTTTGAAAGGCCACGCTGTGGGGAATTTGGGTGGTTGGCCGGCTTTTTGGTGTGGATGAACAGAGCATAGACTTGTTGCAGGGGATCAAAGAGCGACCCGCAGAACGACCTCCAGATGTCCAAGAGGGTGGCTGTCAAACGAACGGCCCCCCGGGAAGCTGAAGCTTTGA